GGGTGCTAGGTCAGTCGCGGGCTGGGGAGTACAGAGGCGGGGTGGTGCTCTTGGTGGCCCATATGAATGTCTTTCTGGACACCCCACTGGCTTCATCTGGCTCCCAGCATCCTGCACAACTACCTTGTGTGGGGCGTGGTGGTGGTCCTGAGTGAGCACCTGTTCGTGTCATTCCGTGAGGCATTGCACAAGCTGGCACGGGAGATAGAGGGCAGTAACAAGCCACAGGAACTGGCCGGGTCAGCCTGGGCCAGGCCAACCACCACTTTGGCATGGCGCTTCATGCCCTCTTTGTACATGAACACTTCTCAGCCCGCCTCAGCCAAGGTGGGCTGCTCCGTTTAGGGTGGGAGGCTGGTGCTGAACTGAGGGTGGAGCCCTCCCGAAGCCATGGTCCTAGCGTGGGGAGCCCCTGCATCCCACTGAAGGCAGAGTACCAGGCCCGCTTAGGCCTCAGCCCATTCTGAGGCTCAGGCTGCTCCTCCGCAGGACTCCTCCTCCCTGGTCTGTCGAAGTGGCAGGTGGCCTTCCCGCCAGGCCTGCCCATCTTCTCAGCCGTGCTCAGGAGGCATCTCCTTAGGGATGCCCATGATGGTTGCTGCAGTTGTTGCCTCTTCTAGCCTGCGAGCTTATTGTTGGAGGGGAAGGATCTAGAGTCCTCCTCCAAGCGTGTCATCTTAGCGCCTAGCACCGAGCTCTGAAGCCAGCAAGTGGTGTAAAAGCTCTATTCATGCCAGGAATGATGGACCAGAGTGAAAGGCTGCTGGATTCGTGACCACCATTCCCGACCCTGACCTGCAGGTGTGGCAGCTGGTCGGAAGGCATCAAGTACCTCAGGGCCAGCGCCTGGAGGGCTGGATGCATGGAGACCAGAACAGCTGCTGGGGGGGCGGTGTGAAGGCCCCCAGTCTCACGGTTGGTCCCTGCGAACATTGACTGAGCACCTCCTGTGTACCCAGTGAAAGAGAATAAAGGGACAAGGGCAGCCGTGAGTTGACCAGGCCTGCCTCCCCCCACCGTGAAGCCCACTCCCAGGCTGGCCTAGTACTCCTTTCCTTCGTGGGCGGGGGGTGGGCAGGGACGCTGTGTCCTGAGGCCCCGTGCCACCTTCACCTGCCCTCAGCCCGCAGCTTCAGTACATGGTGGCGATGGTCGGCTCTCAGACTTCCTGCTCAAACTGGGTCTGTGGACAAGGAGTATGAGATGGGACTGTGTCCCTGCCTGCCCAGCCTGACCACCCAGCCCTCTGCTAATGGCACCTGGGAGGGCTGGATGGCCAGGTTGTGGCACTGTCTGCCAGCCTTGCCTGGTCTGTGGCTGAGTGCTGCCGTGCCCCGCATAGTTTAAGGTCACGAAGACCTACTACAAGAACATTTGAACAGCATCCGCTTCAGCATCCAGCTTTCAGTCAAGAAGATTGGGCAGGAGGTGGACAGGTCCACATGGGTGCCTGGCCCAGAGCTGGGGGAGTCAGAAGAGGTCATGAGGTAGTAGCGGGAAGGTGGTGGCCTAGCTCAGAGGTGGCACAGAAAGTATTTTGTCAGGAGATGGGTGTGGCTGGGCTGCCAAGAATGTCCTGCAGTCCAGGCTCTGTGACCTTCCTACAGAGTGGCTGTTCCCCAGTGCTCATTGCCTTCTATCTACCCTACAAGAACCAGATGGGTACAGGGTGTGTCTCTACACCTATTGTGTCCAAATGTGGGCAGGTCTCCTGACTACACCTCCCTGTAGTGTAACCACAGAATGTCCTGCAGTCCAGGCTCTGAGCTGACTTCAGTGACCAAGACACTAACATACCCGCATGCCGTGGCATCCCGGGTGGCAAGCTTCTATAGCGAAGACTTCAGCTGCTTCTTGGTGTTGGGGTCCAGTGTATGCCCTGATATGAGGAGGAAGCTCTGGTCGGATGGAGTCAGTAGGCCCTGGGGCCCCCTTAGCTCAGAGGGTACAATTACAAGTCCCACATGATAAATCCCACACACTGTAGACATCTGGGGACCCCTTGGGAGGGAGGCCGAGCCAGTTACACAGATGCTAACCCAGTGAGAGGCCTATTCCTAGAACCAGTGGGACCAGGGGCATCATCCAGATGCAACGTCAGCACCCAGGCCAGAAGGCACAGCTGGGATCCCCCTTGAGTCACTCCCGAGAGGCTGCAGGAGCATTCTTCTCTTCCCGATCCTGAGGCTTCCTATGCCCATCACTGGAACTGTGCAGGGGCTCACAGGCACTCAGTGGGCAGGGGGCCTCCAGATCTGGTGGAGACTAGACATGGTGCCATCTGGGGCTCACGGGCACTCAGTGGGCAGGGGCCTCCAGATCTGGTGGGACTGAACTGTGGTGCCATCTGGGGCTCACAGGCACTCAGTGGGCAGAGGCCTCGGATCTAGTGGAGACTGAACTTGTGGTGCCATCTGGGGCTCACAGGCACTCAGTGGGCAGGGGCCTCGGATCTGGTGGAGACTGAACTTGTGGTGCCATCTGGGGCTCACAGGCACTCAGTGGGCAGGGGCCTCGGATCTGGTGGAGACTGGGCTTGTGGTGCCATCTGGGGCTCACAGGCCTCAGTGGGCAGGGAGCCTCGGATCTGAGTGGAGACTGAACTTGTGGTGCCATCTGAGGCTCACAGGCACTCAGTGGTGGGGGCCTCGGATCTGGTGGGAGACTGAACTTGTGGTGCCATCTGGGGCTCACAGGCACTCAGTGGGCAGGGGCCTCGGATCTGGTGGAGACTGAACTTGTGGTGCCATCTGGGGCTCACAGGCACTCAGTGGGCAGGGGCCTCGGATCTGGTGGAGACTGAACTTGTGGTGCCATCTGGGGCTCACAGGCACTCAGTGGGCAGGGAGCCTCGGATCTGAGTGGAGACTGAACTTGTGGTGCCATCTGGGGCTCACAGGCACTCAGTGGGCAGGGGCCTCGGATCTGGTGGAGACTGAACTTGTGGTGCCATCTGGGGCTCACAGGCACTCAGTGGGCAGGGGCCTCGGGTCTGGTGGAGACTGAACTTGTGGTGGAGACTGAACTTGTGGTGCCATCTGGGGCTCACAGGCACTCAATGGGCAGGGGGCCTCGGATCTGGTGGAGACTGAACTTGTGGTGCCATCTGGGGTCTGAATCTTGCAGGGAGTGGGATGCCCCTGCTCACAAGGAGTTGCTCAGGCCTGCCTAGGCTGCAAGCACCTCAAGACTAACCTGGACCTTGGGGTTTGGTTAAAGGGACATCAGACCCTCCTGAGTGCTTACTGTTTGCTGGGCTCACCACATGCCTCAGCACAGCCCTGGGCAGTGAGCACCCCAAGAGCTCATGTTTCATATCGAGCTGCATGCTGGTGCCTTCACCTTTCATGCAGGCACCCACCCCATGTGGTTCCTGGGTGTCCTGGAGTAAGGGACTCAGGCCCTCAGGCCAGGGGTTGACACAGTACGCCCTCCAGATGGCAAGCTTTCAGCAAATTGCGGAGTATTAGAGTATTAGAGTTTTAGAGTTTTAGAATATTAGAGTTTAGTGTGTCTGCTTAAGTGGACTGACGGATTATATGATCTAGTTTTAACCGACCTCATCCTCCAAAAGGGCTAAGAGGCTCACACAAGATTCCTATAAAGAATCTGCAACTAACACCAGAAATCCAGAGCAGATGAACCACAGCAGAAGGGAGAGCTGAGAATTCCTTATTACTCCTGGCAGAGCGCATGTCACTAGGGGTACAGACCTGATCAGATGTTAGCTCCTAATAATAAAAAATCAGCAAACATAAAGTATTAAGAAGAAATCAGCAAACAAAACTCTTGGAATTTCCCGCACTCTGTGATTACTGCTGAAGTTTGCCCTGGGCCTTTGTTCCTGGAGGTATTACTTAATTACTTGTGAGCAGTGTGAAATCCTCATGGTTGGCAAGGTGTCTAAAACTAAGCTTTTTTTTTTTTTGAGATGGAGTGTCGCTCTGTCGCCCAGGTTTGAGTGCAGTGGCAAGATCTTAGTTTACTGCAACCTCCGCCTCCTGGGTTCAAGTGATTCTCCCTCCTCAGCCTCCCAAGTAGCTGGGACTACAGGCATGCACAACCATGCCCGGCTAACTTTTGTATTTTTTAGTAGAGACAAGGTTTTACCATGTTGGCCAGGCTGGTCTTGAACTCCTGACCTCAGGTGATCCGCCCACCTCTGCCTCCCAAAGTGCTGGGATTACAGGCGTGAGCCACTGTGCCCGGCCAAACGAAGCTTTCAGAACCGAAGAAAGAGTGTAATTTTTTCCCATCAATGTTTAAATTTAAGTGCAGTTCAACCCAGTACTTCTTGATATTTCCATATGCAATGACTAATATTTGGAAAGCTCTTTTAAAGTTTCTTGCATGATAGCGTGAGACTAAAAACACCTACCACATGGGAGAAACTTAATTCTTTCTGTTGCAGGAAAAATGGCAGAAACAATGAGCAGTAAATGATCTGTCGACAAACCGAAAGGCATTTCTTTGTCAGCAAACACCGTCGGAAGATATAGAGAAAACACTGCCGAAGACTGGAAGAAACTTGCGTTAGAGCCAAGTACCCAGTGTGGGTGGTTTGCTTTGCAGTGGGCTGAAGGCACAGATGTTCCCAACATGGCTCAGCTGAAGGTATTTGCCAGGTGTTGTTCCAATAAGGAAATAAACAAACCGCTTTTTCTGTCGGTGTGTGTGAGCCACTAAAGAGAAGATATAGCAGACAAGATGTATTGCCAACTGTAAATGCCTTTTTAAATAAAAACAGTGTTGGCTGGGTGCAGTGGCTCAAGCCTGTAATCACAGCATTTTGGGAGGCCGAGATAGGCGGATCACGAGGTCAGGAGATCGAGACCATCCTGGCTAACACAGTGAAACCCCGTCTCTACAAAAAGATACAAAAAAAAAAACAACAAAAAAAAAACTAGCTGGCGAGGTTGCCGGCATCTGTAGTCCCAGCTACTCAGGAGGCTGAGGCAGGAGAATGGCGTAAACCCGGGAGGCGGAGCTTGCAGTGAGCTGAGATCCGGCCGCTGCACTCCAGCCTGGGCGACAGAGCGAGACTCCGTCTCAAAATAAATAAATAATAAATAAAATAAAATAAAATAAAAAAATAAAGTAAAAACAACGTTATGAGGAAATGGTGGAAATGCAACCACAGATGGAACAGCTACTCAGAAAGCGTTTTTTCAGAAAAAGCATTCTGGATACGAATCAGCGTGCAGAGGTAGGTTCACCCTTACCCCTCACTCATTGGCTCACACCCAGTCTAATGGTGACTGTCAGGCTAGGGGTGGGAGGGTGCTGGCAGATATGCACACGGGCTCAGAAGGTGCCATCTGAGGCTGTCTGAGGGATGCCAGGGCAGGAAGGGGGTCATTACCCATGAGGTGGGTCACAGACGGGTCCAGGGAAGCCTGCATGAGCTCAGTGCGGTTCCACACGTACCGGGCACCCTGCAGGGAGGGAGAGGCCAGGCCTCAGCCCACAGCCCTGAGCCCCACACCTCTGCCCTCCCCTTGCTGTGTCTCCTGCACTGGCCAGCCCCCATCACCTGGTGCTTCGCCAGCCATTCCTGCACCAGGTTCTTCCCATCCATCCTGGTCCCATCCTGGCTGTAGTCATGTGGGTACTCAGGGTCTGGGGCCCCCATGGGAAACATGTACTTTCGGCCTCCACCTAGGATCACCTGGGAACAGAGGATGGGGCATGTGGGTTTGGGGCCTGGCTGGCCCTGTGCCACTTCCTCCTGCACAGCCCCTGGCTCCCCTCCCCAAGGTTGTGGGAATGGCCCGGCCTAGGCTGCACCTTCTATGCCCCCAACCCCACCTCCAGACCCTGCTGACCCAGATCAGGCTGTTGGTTGCCTGGGGCTGAGCTGGTGCCCCCTGCTACTCTCTGCCCAGCCCCAACCCTTGGCCCTGGGGTCGCACGTCAATGTCCATGTTGGAAATGAGCTGCGTGGCAATGTCCTTGCAGCCCTCCCAGCGGGCCGAACCAGGCACGTTGGCGTCCAAGTACCAGTTGCGGTTCACCGTGTGGGCGTAGGCACCGGCTGGTGAGGCGTGCTGCACCCGTGTGGTGGTCACTACTCCCACTGACTTCCCTAAGGGTGACAGAGGTCAGGATATGTGACCAAGGTCTGTGACCTGGCCCTGATCCCGCAGTGGGCCCCAGCTCACCTGCTTTCTTGGCCCGGTTCATCACGGAGACCACCTCATTGCCACGTGTTGTGTTGCACTGGTTAAAGTGGGTAGCTGCACTCAAGCCAATGGTCTGGAAGTTGCCCTTGACCCCGCACAGGTAGGCCGTGGCTGTGGCTGCACTGTCTGGCACATGCTTGTCTACATTGTATGTCTGGGGACAGAGACACTCTGAGCTCTTCTCTGGGGCAGACACACAGACCCTGATCTCTGTCCTCTGGGATTCCAACTGCCTCCAGCTCCTTACTGGAGGCCCAGCTGTTTAGGGTCCCTCCGCCCTACCACACTCCATAGCCAGGATACCCTTCTCTGCTTGGAAGACTCTAAGGTGGCCCAGCCCTTACCTTGGACAGAGCCATGTATGGGAAGTAGTCCATGGCCAGGGGGGTCTCAGGCCCCAGTTTGTCCTTCTTCTGCCCCTTTAGGATGCTGGCAGCTGTCACCGTAGACACCCCCATCCCTGAAGGAACAGAAGTGTGTGAAGCTTGGACTCCAGGGCTGTCCTGGAACCACCAATGGTCTGGGCGCTGGGGCTGTGAGGGCTGCGGGGCTGGACAGGCCTTGCTCACTCACCATCACCCAGGAAAATGATGAGGTTCTTGGCGGCTGTCTGTGCAGGCTGCAGCTTTTTGGTGGCACCCAGGGCCTCGGCTGCTTGGCAGTTCCAGAAGTCTGGGTTCTCCTCTTCAACTGGCCAGGGGAGAGCAAAGATCAGGTCAGCCTGGGCTGGGGGGTGCCCTGTGTGTAGGGGCAGCTAGGGGAGCCTCATTACCTGGGATGACACCCAGGGAGAGCTGTAGCCTCAGACCCAACAGCAGCAGCAGCACCCAGGGCCCCCGCATGTCTGGAGGGCAGCAGGAGAGTGGCAAGATGGGAATCCGGGGTATGGAGCATGAGCTGCACTCCAGGCTGCCTGGGTTTAAATCAATGAGAACTGTGTCCTGGCCCCTCCCCTGTTGCCACCTTGACCCCGCCCAGCCTCTTGACTGGCTGAAGAGAGTGGAATGGTGTGGCTGGGCTGGGCTGGGGCTGGGGTCCTAAGAAAAGCAGCTCAGGGTGGGACCATGTGTCCCCCAGGGAAGGGTGGGGTTTTGGGTACAGTGCGGGGTGCATCCTGCAGCCAGGAGCCCCTCCCGCTCCCCCTGCTCCCTGTGTCTTGTGTGGAACAAGACACCCTGTCACTCATTCATTTACCCATTTTTTTTTTTCTGTATTTCCTGGGAGCTGGGGCCAGGCTCTGTTCTGGTGTGGAGAGGAGAGGAGAGGAGGCTGGAAGCACACAGCCCAGGCCAGGGACTAGGTTCAGCCTTCTGATTCCAGGAGCCTGGGCCCTGTGGGAAAGGGGCACGTGGGGGATTTGCTGCCCTGGCACCCCCTTTTCCATCATCTGGCCTTGGCCTGGACAGCGGGGGCTGGCAGGAATCCGGGCCCAGAGCTCTAGGGCTGTGGGCGGCTATGGGGCCAATGGTGACAACACTGAGTGGGGCCGGGCCAGTCTTGCCCACTGCTCATGTGTTGTGTGTGATTGTATATGTGTTTGTGCGGGTGCATTTGCACTAATGTTTGGACGATGCAGGTGGGGGAAAGTCCAGTGCCCTCAGCCAGCCAGGCCTGGGCTGGGTCTTCCAGAGCAGCTTGTGCACTTGAATTTGACACCTGTTCCCTTGCACAGGTAGAAGGTGCCTGGGCCGACTCTGTTTTCCATGGGCCCTGAGCACGCCCAGAACTGTAGCCTCTCACATGGGGATCAGATGTTTTGATAGCTTCAGGATGAGTTAAAATGTATTTCTCCAGTTCGAATATCCTGCCATCATTTTTTTCTTTCTGTTTTATTATTATTATTAATTTATTTTTTTGAGACAGGGCCTGGCTCTGTCACCCAGGTTGGGGTGCAGTGGTGCAATCACGCCACACCTCCAGGCTCAAGCAATCCTCTCCCACATCAACCTCCCATTATCTTCCATTACGTGCAGCTAATTTTTAAAAAATTGTATAGAGGCAGGATCTCCCTATGTTACCCATGCTGGTCTTGAATTCCTGGGCTCAAGCGATCCTTCAACACTGCTAGGGTTCCAGACTTGAGCCACCAATCTGGGCCCACATTCGGGAGAAATGGATTTGGAGAGAAACCAGAGTGCTCAAGGGTGTGACATGTGCCACAATCGTGGGCAAAACAGACCTCTGCCCTTGTGGAGGGCACAATCTAGTTGAAGAGGAATGTTTTTAGAGATGTACAAAGTGCCGGTTGTCAAATTGTGGGGAGTTGCTGGAACAGGACAAGGGGCCTAAGAAGGCCTTTTCTAGAAAGTGTGGTTTGAGCTGAGAATTAGGGATAACTAGGAGTTAGGCCGATAAAGGAAGGGAAGTGGTGATCGCAGGAAATCGTCTGTTCTTGTCCGGGATTACCCTGTGTTAGGGCAATCCCTTTTCTGGGATCACCCAAGGTGGGATAGTGGGTGGAGGAGACATGTGAACTGTCAGGACTAGTAGATTCTGAATCCTGTCTCTGCCATGTCCTGCTGTGTGGCCTTGGGCAATGTACTTGTCTCTCTGCTGCTTCTGATAGAAAAGGAGGGTGGTGAGGGAGATTCAAGTTGAAGAGAGACAAAGTTAATCATGTTTTCAAGTGTTGGCTTTGTCTGCTGTATGGAGATTGCATTAGAGTGGGGTGTTAAGGAAGAGGGAGGGATTTGGGTTCTTGGTGAGAATCACAGTGGCTGGGGCCAGGATTTGGTGCTGTGGGTGGGGAAGAATAGAAAGTAATCCTTTTTTTTTTTTTTGAGACAGAGTCTTGGTCTGTTACCCTGGCTGGACTGCAATGGTGCGCTCTCGGATCACAGCAACCTCCACTTCCCTGGTTCAAGCAATTCTCCTGCCTGAGCCTCCTGAGTAGCTGGGATTACAGGCATGAGCCACTACGCCTGGCTAAATTTTGTATTTTTAGTAGAGATGGGGTTTCACTATCATGGCCAGGCTGGTCTCGAACTCCTAGTCTCAAGTGATCTGCCCACCTTGGCCACTCAAAGTGCTGGGATTATAGGTGTAATTAGAAGTGAAAATTAACTGGACTTGGTTGGTGAGGGAGTAGTCAAGGGTAACTCCCAGGTTTCTGGCGTCTGTTATTATGAGTAAAACAGAAGAATGACTGAACTTCATCAATATATTTTCCATTTGTTGTGGTCATGCAAAAAAATATGGGTTGTTTTTTTTTTTTTCCATCTGTTCCATTTTAAGATGAATAACAAAAATAAACCCTTATTTACTCTTAGGGATAAATCTTTTTTGAGAAAACGATTTACTAAGACATTTAAAGCCTTTGAGTCTCCCACCTTTCTCCCCAGAGGTAACAACTATCCTGTATTTTGGTTAATCTTGACTTTGCTGTTGATTGTTTTTTACCACATATGCATGTTTTCCTAAATAATATAGTGATTGGTTTAGTGTGGTTTTCAACTTTATATTTATTCTGATTGGGATTCATCGATAATTTTATTTATTTATTTTTAAACTCTTTTTACTTTTTTATTTTTTACATTGTAGAAGTTATCATTATAAACTTTTTCAATCCAAGGGTTTATTACAGTGTGTTTTTTTTTTTTTTTTGAGACGGAGTCTCGCTCTGTCGCCCAGGCTGGAATGCAGTGGCCGGATCTCAGCTCACTGCAAGCTCCGCCTCCCAGGTTTACGCCATTCTCCTGCCTCAGCCTCCCCAGTAGCTGGGACTACAGGCACCCGCCACCTCGCCTGGCTAGGTTTTTTTTTTGTATTTTTTAGTAGAGACGGGGTTTCACCGTGTTAGCCAGGATGGTCTCGATCTCCTGACCTTGTGATCCGCCCGTCTCGGCCTCCCAAAGTGCTGGGATTACAGGCTTGAGCCACCGTGCCCGGCCCTTTTTTTTTCATTTTCAAAAAACTTTTTCTCAGCGTTTCACTCTGTCACCCAGGCTGGAGTATAGTGGCATGATCTTGGCTCACTGCAACCTCTGCCTCCCGGGTTCAAGTGATTCTCCTGCCTCAGCCTCCCAAGTAGCTGGGACTATAGATGCATGCCACCACACCTGGATAATTTTTTGTATATTTAGTAGAGACAGGGTTTGGTCATGTTGGCCAGGCTGGTCTTGAACTCCTGGCCCCAAGGCATCTGCCCGCCTTGGCCTCCCAAAGTGCTGGGATTACAGGCATGAGCCACTGCTCCCAGCCAGTTATCACGGTCTTAATAAAATTTGGAAAAATTTTGAAAACAAGAATAACCAAAAGGACGGCGGGGCGTGGTGGTTCACACCTGTAATCCCAGCCTTTGGGAGGCCAAGTCAGAGAATTGTTTGAGCTCATGAGTTCCAGGCCAGCCTGGAATATATACACACACACACACACACACACACACACACCCAAATATATATATACACACACACACCCAAATACATATATATACACACACACACTCAAATATATATATACACACACATACACACCCAAATATATATATATACACACACACCCCCAAATATATATATACACACATATTCAAATATATATATATGCCCAAAAGGTAGAAGAAACCAAATGGGATCATCCACCCAATGAAATATCATGCAGCCTTGAAAAGCAAGGAGGCCCGAAGATTCTGTTACAACATGGATGAACGGTTAGGACATTACACCCAGTGAAATATGAAAGCCACGAAAGGACAAATACTGTCTCCTGTAAAATAAGATTCTTAAAAACAACAACAAAAGGGCAAATGCACATGAACACACTTCTCTGAGGTCCCTAGAGGAGTCAAATTCCTAGAGACAGAAATGGCATGGCGGTTACCTGGGACTGGGGGAGGGGGTAATGGGTTAGGGTTGGGGTTAGGGTTAGAGTTGGGATTTAGTGGGGACAGAGCTTCAGGGTTGCAGGATGAGAACGTTCTGGAGATCAGCTGCACAATACTGTGTGTGTATTCAACACTGCCGCCCTGTACACTTGAAAATGATAAAGGAGGTAAATCTGATGTACCATGTTATGTAGCACAATTCAAAAATTGGTCCAAGAAGAAAAGGTTCCTCCAGCTCCACCCACCCTGGCCCAACCACAGCAGCCCCTTCTCCACTCAGGCCTGTTTACCTCAAACCCCAGGCTTGTCCCCCAGAATCCAGAATCCAGGATCTCACCTGCTGCCCAGCCTCTGCTTGCCCTGCCCCACTCCCCACCACCCCTACGGGCTTCCCCTCAGGCTGAGCTTTCTGGGGTCCTCATGATCTGCCCGCCTCGGCCTCCCAAATTGATGGGATTACAGACAATAGCCACCACACCCAGCCAAGTTTCTTTTTGTTTGTTTGTTTGTTTTGTTGTGTTTTTTGACACCGAGTCTCGCTCAGTTGCCCAGGCTGGAGTGCAGTGGCATGATCTCAGCTCACTGCAACCTCCAGCTCCCGGGTTCAAGTGATTCTCCTGCCTCAGCCTCCTGAGTAGCTGGGATTACAGGCACCTGCCACCATGCCCAGCTAAGTCTTTTTTTGTTTTGTTTTTTTTGTAGAGACAGGGTTTCACCATACTGGCCAGGCTGGTCTTGAACTCCTGACCTCAAGGGATCCACACGCCTCGGCCTCCCAAAGTGTTGGGATTACAGGCATGAGCCACCGAGCCCAGCCTAGTTCTTTGCTCTTAAAGTTATCAGAAACTTGTCCTAAGAGTACTTGGTAACATCTTTACCATGCATCTGATTGGAGATGCTTTCAGGGAAGGACAACACTGTGGATGACAGAGACTTTGAATAGCCTTTCTTAAAAATAGGATTGAAGTTCAGACCTGCCATGGAGGTTCACACCTGCAATCCTAGAACTTTGGAAGGAACTTTGGGAGGACAGCTTCAGACCAGGAAATGCAGGCCAGCCTGGGCAACATAGCAAGATCCCATCTACATAAAAAATAAAAACATGGCAGGGCGCAGTGGCTCATGCCTGTAATCCCAGCACTTTGGGAGGCTGAGGCAGGCAGATCATGAGGTCAGGAGATCGAGACCATCCTGGCTAACACGGTGAAACCCCGACTCTACTAAAAAAATACAAAAACTTAGCCAGGCGTGGTGGCGCGCACCTGTAGTCCCAGCTACTCGGGAGTCTGAGGCAGGAGAATGGTGTGAACCAGGGAGGCGGAGCTTGCAGTGAGCCGAGATGCGCCACTGCACTCTAGCCTGGGCGACAGAGTGAGACTCCATCTCAAAATAAATAAATAAATAAATAAATAAATAACAATAATAATAAAATAAAATAAATAAAAACATTAGCTGGGCATGGTGACATGCACTTATAGTCCCAGTTAATTGGCAGGCTGAAG